ACATTATTTAATATATATATAAATAACTATTTAAACATTAATAAAAGTGACAAAAACACAGAACAGAAATACCAACATTTTTACTAAAATGAAAATGAAAATGGAAAATATAACATATAAAAACATTCAAAGACATAAAAAACCCACATTATTAAAAAACATTATACAAGTATCTCAATGATACTAAAATAACACTGATGCTAGTATACTGCACCGTGCATACTGCCTTTTATTTTTGAAAAATAGTATATAAAACAGACTGCATTATGCAACTTTATTCATTTCAGACAATATTTTGCTATATTGTTGTCATGTGACATTGCATGTTTAATTCAGATTATTTATTTATTTTAAGCAAAAATGTTACATTTTGGCCTATTAATCAAATAAATGAGTGATTATTCCATGCATTCATAGAATTTGCATAATATTTACATCCTGTACATACTATATACTGCAAAAACAGTAAGAGTGGTATGCAATTTCATGTTTAACCCATATCGGTGTTAGATGTGTTGGATATGTGAAATCATACAGTCTTTCAAGTATGTTTTGGTGGTAATGGACGGTTTTGAATACATCTGCAGCGCAAATGTTGTTATCAGACTCCCTGCTGGGTGTTTTTACACACTGATGACGAAATCCCATCAGCACCAATGTCACACGCCATAAAGAATCGGTTGAATGAACACTGCAAAAAGAGATGTGTTAAAAATGACACATGTTGTGCAGAATTTTAACACATGTGGTGAGTGTGCTCAGGGACAACACATGTTGTGTCAAATTTAACACAATTTGTGTGTTAAGATGGATCACACATCTACTGTGTAATGTAATTTAACACACAACGTGTCATTTAAACACATTTGTGTGTAACTGAAAATGATCAGAAACTGCTAATTAATGTGTTAATATGACAAAAATAATAAGCATTGCCATCAATTTGTAATTCTACAAAATTGAAATAAAACAGACAGATGTAAAAATGTTAGCAATTTAATTTGTCAAAAATGTTGTCAGGGTAGAGAACAAAGTAAATGATGACAGAATTTTCATTTTTGGTTGAACTATCTCTTTAAGTAACGGAAGAAAATAAGTAAAGACTGAACTGCAATGAGACCTACCACACTTGGCATATTCAAGAAGCATGGGTACTCAAAGATTGTAGAAGTCCCCTTCGATATCCACGACCTATGCCTGATGTTCATCTCCACTGCTGATTTAATAAAAGATACAAAGAATTGAAGAACAAAGTATTGATCTCAACAATATACCTTTTAATTAATTTCTATCTATCAAAGAGTCAGATGATGTAGTAAACTGTAAGTTAGTTTATCATGAGAAATGTAAAGGCCAACTGACAACAGTCAAGGAATGCAACAACCAAAATGTTCTTTCAGAGTAAAAAAACACATTTGGCTGTTTTTGACATTAATTACACATTACTAACAAATCCATCTCCTTTTCCTTTAATCCGACCCTGCAAAGATGTGAAAGTAGTGACAAAAACAAGCAATGTTTAGTTGGAAAGTGGCGTAAATGGGTAAAGTTTGTTTGGTCATGTTTTCCTGTTTCAGCGTCTCTTCTTTTTTCCAGTTATGCGCTCAGCCTCGCTTACACTTTTCACTAACGGCATACTGCTCAGTGCACGTCGCCACTTTCCAACTAATTAGCATGACACAAACTTTGACAAGCAGTCTCCTGGACTTTAAATGATCCTGTTTTCCTCAGGTAACTTAACACTGCTGCTTTGCTTTGAAGAGGGATGAGAACAAAAACAAAATACCTGGATTACCTCTCCAGCATTCGTTTGGTGTAACGTTAGGGCTCCTGTGCTTGAGGTGAAGACTTGAAATCGGTCAAAATTCTTCACTTCTGTCAACATCCGCAAATTCTTGAAAATAAGGCTCAGTGTTACTCATACTGTAGAGTAATGCGAAGAGAAGAAAGAACATTCACGCCGTGTCACCCGCATCAAACAGCACAAGCACTGTGAACGCACCTGATGCAGCGAAGCAAACGCTCCACGTTAAATTGTTCACTTATAATCCTCTTTTAGGTGTTTATAAAATGATCTGGTGTGCTAGACAACTTGTTTGGTCATGTTTTCCTGTTTCAGCGTCTCTTCTTTTTTTTTCCAGTTATGAGCTCTGCCTCGCTTACACTTTTCACGAGTGCACGTCGCCACTTTCCAACTAATTAACAATGTTTGGTAGCTAACTATTTCCATGGTCGATTTTTGCAGCACTATGCATTTTTAAGAGTATCTGCTGTAACTTACGGATAGATCTGAGTCCGACAGCATAGTGATTCCCCTCAAACCAGACCAGCCAGAGTGAAAAGAGCGGGATCCGCCGCAGTTTAAAAATGCGAGAGGCACGACATGATTGGCCGACAAAAAAATAGCCGTTAATATTTTAAGTTTAATAAATTGAGATGTATATATTGTATATTTATTTTATTAATGATTTTTAGTCATTTTAGAGCTTTTTATGTGCTGCCATATGAAATATATGTATTGTATTTATTTCCATAAACACAAAGTGACGGCCCAGGAGATAACACATTTATTGTGTCAATCTGTCCAAAGGCATTTTTTTTTTTATTACACATTGTGTGTTAAAATCCTACACAACATGTGTCAGAATGCTGTCAACACAACCATGTGTGTTGTTTTTGACACATCTGTTTTTGCAGTGTTGTTTGGCATCCAGTTTGACTCATCTGTGTTGTCAGAATCTGATAAATGGACCAAATTCAAAAAAGAAAAGCGATCATGTGGAAGTATATGTGTGGTAGTTTGGGGTTTTCTGGACCATGATGATTCAAGCTTTAAATAATTCAAAACACTTTCTCTCGTTTTGTATTCAGCCGGTGCTTTTAGCAAAACTGTGCTTCCTGTAAACAACCTGAATGACTCGACTCCCATTATTCAGCCATCCTTCATTTTTTATTTTTTGGGGATTTCGTTCATGGTTGCTTAATCCATGATCAGCTAAACTGCAGTAGAAGTCTAATGATAGACCTTATTATTGAGTCCAGAACAGAGAAGTTCCTGTAGAGGGAGAAAGTTATACTGACATTTAAAGGTCACCTGCTGAGATTTGTGAGGAATTTTCATTGAATGACCAGAGGAAGATTTACAACTTGTATAATTTTTATGTCTTAAAGGTCTGTGCTGTACATTTTGCGTATGGCTCTGGTCCTTCCTTAAATGTAAGTCTGGGCTGTTTTGTTTTTGTCCATCAGGAGAAAATCGCACCATAGATGTCTCATGCGTTATATTCCAAGTCTTTTAATAACGTTCGGTGAAAAACAGACAGCTTTTTAATCATTATTCACTGAAAATCAGTAGTTTTGGTAAGTCAGTAAGGTTTAATTAATATTTTAGTACATGTTCATTGTTATTGCACGAAACACTGACCAGGCTATTATTGGCAATTTCTCGTTTGCTGTCAGAAAGTCAAACAGGATAGAAAAGAACACATTGGTGAGTAAATAATAGAACATCCTAGCATCATAATGACAAGTTTTTAATTGTATTTAGTTTTTACTTTTAATATTTTTGTTTTCATATTTATTTTGTTTTTATTTTTTTAATATATTTTTTTATCAATTTTATTTTTATTCAGTTTTAATTTTGTAAATATTATGTATTATATATAAATATAATATAATATATAATAATATATTATATTATTAAAAAAATATTAATATTCGTTAATCATTGTAGTCCATTTATTCTGACTTAATTGTATAAAAATAATATTTTTGTTGATACATGCATTTAGCATAAATTGTTGATGATCATGTGCAAAATTATGACATTTTATATCCAGAAGTCTGTATTTGTTGCTTTATCTGGTTCTTTTTCTTTTCTTTTTTGACAAGTTTTTATTTGGTTTAGTTTTTACCATTTTTATATTTATTATTATTATTATTATATATTTATATTATATTTTTTGCTATATCAATTATTTTTTATTATTTTTTGTTTATTTTTAATGTGCTATAAATATACTTTGTTTATTTCCTGCAGTCACAATGAGACAGAATTTTAGGAGGGTCGTGTCACTTAATAAGCAGAAGATGCCTAAAGGAAACAGCACTAGAACAGTGTCAGCGGCACTTCCTGACGCTCAGCTGGGGAAAGTCAGCACATTTTATGAGGTCACTGTGGCTATAAATAGTGCTGCCTCAGCCGGGAGGGAAAATGCCTGCAAACCAAGTTTTCAATAACTGCTGCACAAAGGGTGTCACTGAAGCGTATTCAGCTCCAGATCTGCTTGTTTTGACTGTGTGAGTGGTTGTGGTGGGGGAAGGATCTTAGCGTCATTAGAGGACCGTTGCAGTCATTGCTAGTGCCATCACATTCATGCCATCTGCCACCTGCTGTTGTGTGTGTGTATGTTTGAGGAGTGGTTTGCGTTTCTTTTATTTTCTTTTTTGCATTTAGCGTAAATAATTGATGCTAATGTGCAAAATGATGACAGTTTTATTTCTATCCATCCATATGAATTTGTTGATTTATCTAGTGGCAAGACAAACAGCAGATTCTTCATTTACACCCAATAAATACAGTGTTGCTGATTAGCTTGATTTGCTCATGACTGTATTATTTTTGGTTCTCTGTTGACAGCAGGATGTTGACGGGGATGTTGTGTGCTTTATCATGCAGATAAAAAGCTGTGAAGCGAAGACATCTGCTAGCCTCATCGACTTATTTTTGTAATAGTATGTGAAATGTAGTATGTAGTATTTTTAACATTTTAAACAGCTATATTATCACTTGACCACATTGCATGTTTAACTGAGAGAGTGACATCCAGTTAGGATCTTGGAAATAAATGTCATAAATGGTGGTCGCATTGCATTGTGGGATAAGGCATTCTGCACAGTATGCACTGGTTCTCTACTAAATGCTGGTGATTCTGAAATATTGGTAAAACCGATTGTTTTCTGTATTAATCGTGACATTCTCTCTGTTTCTCTCCCTGCAGTGTTTGACTACAGCTATCGGGACTATATTCTGTCATGGTACGTCCCCTTGAGTCGAGATGAGGGCCAACTCTATCAGATGTTGTCTGAGGACTTTTGGGAAATGACCAAACAGCTGCGAATGCGTCTGTCTGAGGTGGATGTGGTCAACCTGGTCTGTAACGACATGGTCAAGACCCTCCACACGCACTTCTGTGACCTTAAGGCTGCTAACACAAGGTGAGACACACAGCGCTACTAGTGGTTCACTGTTACGGAGGATAAGATTGTTATTGTTATTGTTAAGAAATGTTTCTTGAGCATCAAATCAGCATATTAGAATGATTAGGATCATGTGACACTGAAGACTGGAGTAATGATGCTGAAAATTCAGCTTTGCATCACAGGAATAAATTACATTTTAAAATCTATTCAAATAGGAAATAGTTCTTTTAAATTGTAATAATATTTCACATTGTTACCATTTTTACTGTATTTTTGATCAGCCTTGGTGAGAATAAGAGACTTCTTTCAAAAACATTTAAAAACATTCTTACCAGCCACAAGCTTCTGAATGCTGATGTATATGTTTTAAGTGTTTTACTTCTTCCACCAAAAACACAAAGTGTTTAATGTGGTTTCTTTAAAACACCCAAATGCTGTTATCCGGATTGACAGAGCGAAAGCCTTTTCTTTCATCTTTACTCTGATAACAGCACACAGCAAATGCACCTTTGCAAAACTTTTGTGCTTGTTGAAATTCAATCACAAGCATTTTGGATCACAAGCACTCTCTTGATTTTATTCATTGATTACTGATTTGTCAGTGGAAAGAAAGCCAAATGATTGCTTTATAATCACAAACACACATATTGGAGATTCATATTTCTCAGTTTAGTCTTCAGTCTTTCTGTGTGATTCCTTTTGCTTACACTCTCTCTCTGTGTGAGTGTGTTGGATGCGGATGCAGTAATGAGCGTCTCTGCTCACCGTGTCTTCATCATTGTGTGTGTGTGTGTCTCAGTGATCGATCTGCACAGCTCATTAGCTGAGTGGACAGGCATCTTCTGTTGCCCCTCTTTTTCTGCCTCTCATCTGTCTTCCTCCACCTGTTCTGTCCATTTATGGAATATTTCCCCCTTCATATTTTATGGTCTTAATTTTAAATGCTTTGTTGGTGTGAATGCTTAAGTAAGAAATAGTAAAATAAATAAAAATATTATAAATAAATAACTTTATAAATAACAGTTTTGATTTTCAGAGTGCTTTATTGGCATGATTGCTTTGTGTATTGCCAAGGAAAATAGTATAATTATTATATATGATATTATATGATATTATATGATATTATATATTATATTATAATTAAAAACTATTTTTTATATATTTATTCTTCTAATAATATCTCGGTTTAAATTTTTCAAAGTGCTTTATTGGCATGGTTGCTTTGCATATTGTCAAGAAAGAAAGGAGAAAAATATAATTATAATTAAAAAATAAAACAAAACAAGATATTAATTTGTTTTTATTTTATTAATATCTCTTGCAATTTTACTTTTTCAAAATGCTTTATTGTCATGATTGCTTTGCATATTGCCAAGGAAGAAGGAATATAATATCATATAATATAATATAATGTAATGTAATGTAATATAATGTACTATTGTTAAATTATATTACAGTTAGAGTTTAAAAATAAAACAAGATATCAATTTCTATTATTATCAATTATCTATTATTATCTATTCTATTATTATCAAAGTATTTTCAACGTATTTTATTGCCATGGTTACATATTGCCAAGTGAGAAAAAGGGGAAAAAATAGTGTTCATATAATATAATTGGATTAAAAGAAAAGAAAACAAGATATTAATTTCTGTCTCTTACAATTTAAATTTTCAGATTGTTTCATTGGCATGATGGTTTGAATACTATAGAATCCAATAGTCTCTCTGTCTCTGTCTCTGTCTCTCCAGGCTGGAGGAAGTACCACGGCCGTTTCCGTTGCATCCGTGTCTGCGCAGTCCCGATGAAGAGCTGCGTTTCCTGCGCTGCTGCGCCCGTCTGCTCATGCTGCGTCTGCTACCCGCACGGGACGCTCGTTCACGCAGTCTGCGCCTCTTACTGGTGGAGGTCGTCGCTACTAAAGGTGACTCTCACTGAACCTGGTGCACACTGTGTGATATTTTCTATCTATCTATCTGTCTGTCTGTCTCTCTGTCTGTCTATACACACACACACACACACACACACACTTATATATGTTTGTAAATAAATAAATGCATTTATTCACACATTAAATGCATTAAATTTAACAAAAGTGACAGTAAAGACATTTCAAATATTACAAAATATTTCTATTATTTATTTCTCTTAATACTACTTATAGATCTTTTAATTATTAGTATTACAGTTTTCACAAAAATGTTAAGCAGCACAACTGTTTTCAACATTGATAATAAGTTTCTGATGTAAATTCAGATTTGTCTTCACAGGAATACATTGTATATACGTTGATATATACGTTGTAATATATCGTGATGTTATGCTCACTCTATAATAGGTGACAGAAGAAATTATAATTTAATCTTATTACCGGTATTAAACAACATAAATTCTTTTGAATTGCTAGAAAACTCTGCTGTTGGGAATATTTTTCACACACAAATTAGCTTTTGTTTGTCATAACTTTCCTCTGTTGTGGTTTAATGAACAAGAACTTTCTTCAATACGGCTGAAAGCAGTACAAGACTTCGATAAGTAGAAATAATTTGCTTTCATGAATCAAAATGAGATGCTGTATATACGTTGATATATACGTTGTAATATATCGTGATGTTATGCTCACTCTATAATAGGTGACAGAAGAAATTATAATTTAATCTTATTACCGGTATTAAACAACATAAATTCTTTTGAATTGCTAGAAAACTCTGCTGTTGGGAATATTTTTCACACACAAATTAGCTTTTGTTTGTCATAACTTTCCTCTGTTGTGGTTTAATGAAGAAGAACTTTCTTCAATACGGCTGAAAGCAGTACAAGACTTCGATAAGTAGAAATAATTTGTTTTCATGAATCAAAATGAGATGCAGAGATTTGGTGCTCATGTTCTACACGCTGATAAATCCCCCTCTCACAGCACAAAGCTTTCATTCACTGACAGTTTCATAACTTGAGAATGAGATTTTGGGAGAATCTTGTTTTTGGCTCGAGCTTCAGTGTCTAAACTGACATCTCTCTGCACAGTTGGATTGGATGGAGTTGATTGACTGTTCAATGCTCATCTGTGTTCTTACAATGCTGCTCTTGTGTAAGAACTCATGAAACATCTACTGCGGGGTTTTTCTTTCTTTTTTTTTTACAAATCATGAAATTGATTTCAGGATATTTTCGATGACCACCAGATGTGTGATTGTAATTGTCTTTGATTTGCCATGAAATGACTAATTACATCTATTGTAGGCGACTGACAGACAGGCTGCTCGAGAGAGATTGAGGATGTGATGACTGCAGGTAGATCAGTCTTGGGGTGTAACGGTTCACAGAAGTCACGGTTCAGTACGTACCTCGGTTTTGTGGTCACGGTTCGATACGAGTTTGGTACAACAGGAAATGTTTTTTTTTTTTTGTTTTTTTTAAACAGACAGTAATGCTACATGTAGCATGAACAGTTGTTTTTAATTTTAAACGAGTTTGGTACAACGGGAAATTTATTTTTTTTATTTATTTTGAACAGACAGTAATGCTACATGTAGCATGAGCAGTTGTTTTTGATTTTAATTAGATTGTATAATTTCAAGATTTAAAGCAAAAACAGAACTTTTGATTTGTGAAATTATGCTACATAAGACACCTGCACAAAACAAAAACAGCTGACGGACTGAATGAAAATGACAGCAGGTGGCGCTTATGAAACAGCAGTGATAGTGTTTCCTTGGGCATTATATGGAGGTAAGAGGAAAAGAAAATGCCATCGAAGCATTTCTGGAGACGGTCAGTTCCTCTCAGAGATGCATTCATATTAGGGCTGGGTTTTGACACAAATTTCACGATTCGATTCGATATGAAAGAAGTCAGTTTCGGCTCGGAACAACCTTTTCTACAGTGGAAATACACGGAACGGTTCGAGAACGGACACAAACCGTGAACCTGTACCGCGACCTCTGTTCTCTGTGCTCGCGCTTGCGCTTCGTATGCGCTGCACGTAAACAGGGTGCAAGGTCTTTCCGTTCCTGTACTTAAATCGTTTTTCACATTAAAATGCGAACGCAGGAATCGTTAAGCAGAATCGAAATGCACGCGTCTTATCGAATACCCTTTTC